TCAGCTATCTTTACCTTCATGAATCAATAATGACCTCTTTGACCCATTACATCAACACAGCCTCACGTGACTGATGGGAAAGAGCTGCGTTTGTGTGTTTTTGTTGGTAAACACTCTGATGAAGTGTTGTCCATGAAAAGGTCACACTTGTCAACAAGGTCACAACTTTAGGTGCTGGAATTCTTGTGTCCTAAAATAAACCTGAGGTCGTTCTCCTTAGCTCCGACTGACTGACTGACTGACTGACTGACTGACTGACTGACTGACTGACTGACTGACTGACTGACTGACTGACTGACTGACTGACTGACTGACTGACTGACTGACTGACTGACTGACTGACTGACTGACTGACTGACTGACTGACTGACTGACTGACTGACTGACTGACTGACTGACTGACTGACTGACTGACTGACTGACTGACTGACTGACTGACTGACTGACTGACTGACTGACTGACTGACTGACTGACTGACTGACTGACTGACTGACTGACTGACTGACAGGCTGTTGTTGTAGCTGCTCAGGTGTGAGGACGGTGTACTGTGATATTTATATGAATATTTCCTCAGGAGTGGGAGGAGCTCAGGTGCAGTAACAACACGTTACAGTGAAGTTATGCAGACGATGACATGTTCTCTGTGGTTTTTTTTATCCTTTTTTCCTTTCAGTTCTGCCACAGAATTTCTTTGTTGAATCTCAGTTGGTCAATCATTATGTTGACGTCGTGCAAAGCCAGTTTCCTTTTCATTCCAAAACTCTACTATTGTTGTGTCAATCATTATGTTGACGTCGTGCAAAACTCTACTATTGTTGATTTCCATGTAAAAGTACATGTAAACAACAGCCCACAGAGCTCAGTCCAGTTCTTATTTCTGGTCTGTGGTCTCGTGGTAAACTGTGAGCCACGGTTTGGCCCCTCTTTGTGTGGCCCCTCCCCACATGCCATGTCACTGTGATGGATTAACATCTGGGATGAGCTCAAACATGTTGGTACATCTGTCCCAGATAGTTTGGATTTTCCAAAGCTGTTCCATCAGTCAACCTGGATCATGGTGTCATCGACTGTTGTTGGTTTTTAAATCCCTAATTGCGATTCATACATTTCTGCCTCGTGTGTTAGCACCGTCGTAACATCCGTCCATGGGGTTTGAATCCTCAGCTAATTAGCAGCTAGTTGTAGCCTCTCCAGTGGACACATTTGTACTGGAGCTGGGAGTAAACAGGAGTCACTGGACACTTAAAGCCAGGGCAGTTACCAGACTCTAGTGACACTACATGCTATTTTTTTTTCTCTTTGTGTTTGTGAAGCTTCTGTTTCCTCCTGCCACTCACATCTGTTTGTTTGTTGTTTTTTTTCAGCTGGAGATGGAGAAGCTGCAGCTTCAGAGTCTGGAGCAGGAGCACCGTAAACTGACAGCCCAGCTGAAGGACGAACGAGAGAAAAATAAGCACATTGTCATGATGTTAGTAAGAGAATGCAAACAGCTGGCTACGCGGGTGGTCGAGGAGTCGCAGCGCTTCGATGAACTGCAGGCTCGCCTGGACGAGGAGAGCCACACCACCGGCCGCCTGCAGGAGGAGCTAAGTACCGAGAGACAGCGCAGCCAGCAGATGGAGGCCAAGATGGAGAAACAGCTGTCTGAGTTTGACACGGAGCGCGAACAGCTACGCGCCAGGCTGGGCCGCGAGGAGGCCGAGAGCCAGAGTCTGCGGCACCAGGTGGAGCAGCTCAGGACTGAACAAAGCGATGGCAAGAACGCCGCCGTGGCTCAGCCTGCTGCTGCAGCTGAACCTGCCGCCGCTGCAGCCGCTCCGTCCAAACCCAAGGCCCTGAAGTCCGTATCCATAGCGACGGAGCCCGTCTGCTCTCGACCTGCGTCTTGCCAAACAGACCTGACCCCCAGTGAGGTGGAGGCTCCGAAAAAGAACCCACTCAGTATAACCGTCAAACCGTCCCCCGCCAATTATGTGGGTCTGAGTCTGCCAAAGACGACTGGACGTGGGATTGTCCACAGCAGCTCAGGAGGACTGGCACAAACAGAAAATGGCTCCGAGGGCCAAGCCCCCCATCCTTTACCCACTGGGGTCAGCCCTCGTGTCCAAGCAGCTCGCTACAAGTTCCAGGAACAGGACCAAAACGGCACGGCGTCTCAGACTCCACCAGCCCGTGACCTCTCTCCTACGAACCGTGACAACTTTGTCGCCAAGCAGCAAGCGCGTCACACTGTCACGCAGGTTCTCTCGCGCTTCACCAGCCCTCCTGCAGGAGGCGCTGGACCTCTGCGACCGGGCCTGCCCCACTCTGCCTCAGAGGGAGGTCCTTTTCCAGGCCGTCTGAGCCACCCCATCGGTCTTAAATCGCCAACGGTGGCCAGGATCGACCGGGGGAACCCTCCTCCTATTCCTCCAAAAAAACCAGGGCTTTCCCAGACACCTTCTCCTCCTCATCCACCCATCAAGGTGGTGGGGGACAGCAGCCGCTCCCCCGGGGCTGGAATTAAACCGGCCACTCCCCAACTGCCACCTAAACCAGCCCTGGACTTGGTCCCAGCCCTGACGGCCTCTCAGGTGGGTGCCTGTCCCCGTTCTCCGGGGCCCGGCCGGGGCCCTCAGCGGCAGCCGGCGGCAGCATGTGCAGAGTGCCCCCCCGTCATCAACCCCACCTCCACTGTCAGTAGCCCATCCTCCATAATCCCCTCCTCCTCCATTAGTGCTCCATCCTCCCGTAGTCCCAGCTCCCTGGCACCAGCATCAGGTAAAGGGGCTCCTCCGTGCTCCACCCCCCCTTCAATTTTCCCACTTCCTCCTTTCTTTTCCGTGTTCTTCCATGGTGCTAGCATAGCGTATCTGAGTGTAGTTTTTAGGGCGCAGGGAAACTACAGGACCCACAGTTCTCTTCATTCTGGCTGTGATGTCATCGCTGCCATCTTCTCTTACTCTTCTTCTTCTTTTCTTTTTTCTTGACTCCAAGTTTCCTCCCCTCTGGGCACTTCCTGTCTCCCATGTTGTCACGATGTCAGGAGCAGCCGGACATCGACAACATGTCGCTAACGTGTGATTTATCGCAGCATCAGGATGTTGTCAGGGCAAAGACAGGCACACCAGATATCATCTTCACTCTGATTGGACCGTTCTCACCAGTAACCCCTGACCTCTCTGAAGCTGATGCCAGAGGCTGCTCTCTCTCCCTCTCTCTGCCCCCCTCACCCATCAGCATGCCATCACTTCTCCTCTACTTCCTGCATGCCTTCATTCCCACTGTCACTTCATTTTCCAAGAAACGTCAATCTGTACAAATGTCACTTCATTTTCCAAGAAACGTCAACCGCTGTACGTTACGTAGCCTTTACTGGATGTTGTTGTTGTTGTTGTTGTTGTTGTTGTTGTTGTTTGAATCCCTGATCGGTCCATTTCCGTGTTTTCCCGGTGCCTTACGGCGACAGGTAAATTTGTGTCGTACAACGGTTGTTACGTACGTAGAAGGTTTTGTAAATGTACAAAAATGTGCAGTTAATATTTAGGTGAACCTTATGTTGTTTCTACTATTACACATATGTTAAAGTGGGTTATTTCTTACAGTCATCCTACAAATGAATTTCCTCAACTTTTATTATAAATATAATCAGTGACTTTGATGTTGATGATTTCGTCAGGTCTGAGCGTTTCCCCATCATTGTTCCTGAAATGTAGCCCCAAACCCTGACAGAGCCTCTGCAGGAAGATTCCAGGAACTGTTTAAGACAGTGTCTGTCTTTAGGGAGAGAAAATAAATAAATAAAATTAAATACATTTATATCATTCATTAAAACTAGCATGAGGTATTATTAAATAATTATTTAATTAAAATGGTTAATTAGAAAAATATATACATTAATATTGTGGTTTTGGACAGTTGTCCACAATCACCTTTAGGTCTTTATTAAGACCACCTTGTTATGACAAAAAAAATGTCTATGAAAGCGTCACATTCTTCGTGTTAAATTACTGTAATAGATTCACTGTTACCTTTGTTACCACCAGAATAACAGTTCACCTCAGTCAGTCACACAGATGTCGTTTGAAAAAACCTTCAGCTTCAGCATCAGTGCAGTTTGTCTGAAGAATAAACCTGGAGCGTCTTAAAGAAACTCTGTGACTTCCTGGACACATTTGTCTCCGTTTCCAGCCAGAACACAGTCTGATCTGTCGGCAGCCAGGACAGAATTCACCCTCTGTCCCCGGTGTCTTGACTTCCTCCTCCTCCTCTTCCTCCTCTCACAGACTCAGTGGTGCTGTGGAACTGCAGAACCTGAGTTCTTTTTTTTTCTTTGCTGTTGTCTGACTCTTCACTTCTTTTCTGTCTCTCTGTTTTTCGTACACTTTTATTGTTACACAGTCAAACGTTCCACAGAACAGGAATATCTGATACAAGATATTGTAGCTGTAGAAACTGAACTGTCGGTTCTGAACTGTCGGTTCTGAACTGTCGGTTCTGAACTGTCGGTTCTGAACTGTCGGTTCTGAACTTGTGCTTGAAGCCAAATCACGTCTTTCTTTCTTGTTGGTTGTTTGTTGTTCTGTTTGTTCGTCGTATTGTTCTAAAGCAGATCTGCTGTTAGAACAAGAACCTCTAAATATGGGATCAGTTAAGTTCAAATTATTACTTTATCTTCCTTTTTAATTAAATTAATTATGTGTATTAATTAATTTAATTGTGAACTAGTTGCCTGTAGCGTGGTGCGAACAGGGTGATCTTTAACACTGTACCTCAGTGCAGGTGGAGGATGGGTGTCGGAACTGTGGAGGTTGCTGGTTGAACACCTCCTCCACCTCCTCCACCTCCTCCACCGTTCACTGCTCCTCAGACAGTAGAGGTTGTGTTTTGGTTTTAAAGTGGTCTCTCCTTCCTGTTACACCCCTCGACCCCCTCCCATGTTCAGCACTTCTAGTTTCTTCCACTTCTTCCTCCTCTCCGTCCTTCCTAGTTTAACCTGTGCTCCTCCTGCTCCTCCTCCTCCCTCCTGCAGGCTGGTGTCCCTCCGTAGTCTCCTCTCTCAGTGGCGGTGGGCTCGCTGCCCTGGACGGCGGGCGCCCTCTGCTCCTCCAAGCTGCTTCCCAGGGAAATGTCACTTTATTGTCAATGCTGCTTAACCAACCAGACCTGACCACTACCACCTCCCCCATGTCTGACAACCTCACCTCCTCCACCACCTCCTTCACCACCTCCACCACCGCCGCCGGCATGGAGGACCAACCCCATCACCTTGACGAAGACCATCATCTCTACCACACCACCCACCAAACCTCTGCCTTGTTTGCTGCTGCACAGAACGGACACACAGGTGAATGGTTTCACTTTCTCCTCGACAACCACACGTTGGTTATAGTCGCCCCCTGGTGGTAGTTCTGTTGTCGTGCTTAGTATATACTTGTTCATTTTTCTACAACTTACAAATGAGTATTTAAAAGTTAAATAGCTCTCTTGCTTTGGCCCACTTTATTAATTTAATTATTACAATTAGGTATTGCAGGGCAAACTTTATTAAAATATATATTTCTTGCTAATATTTAGTCAAAAAGAGAAGCTAGCTTTTAGGTTCTTTTTTCTTTCGGCTTTGTCTCTTTTGTCCCTTTTTCAAAAAAAAATTTCAAAAGGCTTTTTCTAAAAATTTTTCAATTGTGAATTTTTTGTAAAAATTTTCAAAAAATTTTTTTTTCGAAAAAAGTTTCAAATTTTTTTTCTAAAATGTTTTCAAAAAATTTTTTTCTAAAACTATTTCAAAATTTTCAAAAAAAAAATTTTTTTAATTTTCAAATTTTTTTTCTAAAAATTTTTTCAAAATGTTTTTTTATGAGAAACATGCAGAAAAGATAAAATGTTGACTTTTTTTCACAAACTTTCAAAAAAAATTCTAAAATTTTTTGAAAAAATTATACAAAAAAATTTTCAAAAAAAAATTATACAAAAAAAATTTCAAGAATTTTTTTTCAAAAAAATGTTTTTTTTAAAAAAATTTCAATTTTTTTTTCAAAAAAATTTTTTAGACATAAAAAATACATGGAAAAATCGACCTCCGATATTAACCCATGTGTCCTGGGTCTTTCCTCAGAGTGTGTGAAGCTGCTGCTGTTTTCAGGAACTCCTGCTGATGTTACTGATGTGAATGGACTCACACCCTTGCACTTGGCTGCCGCCCATGGCCACAGCAGGTGAGTCCTGACACCCCCCCCAACACCCCCACCCCCCCCCAGTTGACTTTTATATACTGGATTTTACGATTAATGATAAAAAAATGTGCGATCTCTGTGTGAACGGTGTAGATGTGAGTATTGTTTTTCCAGTTTTAAAGTCTCTTCTTTGTGCTGTGGACCAGTGTGTCCTCCATCGACGCCACTTTATCCTCCAACATTGATTTCAAATGATGAGAGGATCATTTGGCTCCAACACTACATTAAGTGTCAGAACTGGTCTTTCACACTGATTCTGATTTATTGGTGGGTGTTGGTCCAAGCTGACAGGGAGACAGAAAGTGAGAGAGAGAGTGTGTGTGTGTGTGTGTGTGTGTGTGGACATTTACCAAATGAAAAAACCAAACACGATGTCTATGACCAGCTGTGGAATGTGCAGTGTAGTAATATCTGATTACAGTGTTATTTATAGAGCTAGAATATCCAACGACAAACTCCACTGCCTCCCCCAACACCCACTCCCCTACACACACACACACGTACCCGTTCTCCCCTCCATCCTACTCATACATACCTAAACACACACATATATAATGGAACTATATAAATACATACATGTGATAACAATAAAATCATCACGTACTTATCTTTGTCTCAGACCTAATCCTCTTCACCTACAAATCCCACCCTGACCCTGGTCCTCACCATGATCCACTTCATCTCAGAGTCCAGTTCTCACCAGCCCATGAACAGTGTCAACATGTCTGTCTGAGGTGTGTTCACCGTCACGACCCCTTCACCGTCACGACCCCTTCACTCTCACGACCGCTTCATCTAAAAATTTTCAAGAAAATTTTTCAAATTTTTTGAAAAAAATTTTTTCAAAGAATTTTTTTCAAAAAAAAAATTTTTTTTCAAAAAAAAATTTTTGAAAATTTTTCAAAAAAAAATTTTTGAAAAAAATTTTCAAAAAAAAATTTTTTTTTCAAAAAAAATTTTTTTTTTCAAAAATTTCAAAAAAACATTTTTTTTTTAAAATGTTTTTCAAAAAAAAATTTTTTTTTTCATAAAAAATTTTTCAAAAAAAAAATTCTTTGAAAAAATTTTTTTTGAAGAAATTTGAAAAGTTTTCTTGAAAATTTTTAGATGAAGGGGTCGTGAGAGTGAAGGGGTCGTGACAGTGAAGGGGTCGTGACGGTGAAGTCTCCTCAGACAGACATGTTGACACTGTTCATGGGCTGGTGAGAACTGGACTCTGAGATGAAGTGGATCATGGTGAGGACCAGGGTCAGGGTGGGATTTGTAGGTGAAGAGGATTAGGTCTGAGACAAAGATAAGTACGTGATGATTTTATTGTTATCACATGTATGTATTTATATAGTTCCATAGTTTGAAAATTTTTTAGAGATTTTTTTTGAAAAATCTTGAGAAAAAAATTTTTTTGAAAAATTTTTAGAAAAACATTTTTTTGAAAAATGTTTAGAAAAAAAATATTTTTGAAAAATTTTCAAAAATTTTTTTTCAAAAAAAAAAAATTTTTTTTTCCAAATAAAATTTTTGAAAAAAAACTTTTTTTTTCAAAAAAAATTTTTGAAAATTTTTCAAAAAAAAATTCTAAAGATTTTTCAAAAAAATCTAAATATTTTTCAAAAATATTTTTTTTTCTAAAAATTTTTCACAGTTTGAGCTGTTTTTAAACTAAGGCCGTCGCTCTTCTTTAGCCTCATTTTGCCAGCTAGCCTCTAACTTAGCCATGCTATGCTAAATGTTCAGGATCTTTATGGATTCAGTCGTTTTATTTGCTCCATGTTGTGGAACACGTTGTTCAGTCTGTAAATCTCTCTCCTGCCTCTGCAGCTGTGCAGACGTGCTGCTGTCTGCAGGAGCTGCTGTGGATGCAGCGGCGGCAGACGGGGGTCAGACCCCCCTCTTCGTGGCCTGTGAGGCTTGGCCTGTGTCCAGTCCTGCCTGACCGCCGGGGCTGATCGCTCCCGCACCACCTCAGTAAGTCCACTAGGCTGTGCTTTACCTCTGGACATGTTCATTTTATATAACATAGAATAAAAGTTGTTACTGCTTTTCTTTTTTCTGAAGGCTTGAGAAATTACATCTACATTTTCCTGACACATGGATTAATCTTTTAAATTACAAACAACAGAAAACCACAACGTAAACTGAACTCTAACACATCAGAGTCTCAGACTTTTTTCTTGCTGCCTATCATTCCAACCTGTAATTGGTGCAGCCTATGAGCTTCCTTGGTCTCCATGGTAACCATAGGGGTCTGCTGGTTGCCGTGACAGCTTGTGACGGGACCCCTGGTGCCCCTATATTTAGTCACCTGCTTTGTTCCTCATTTAGCTCGGTGTCAGTGCTGAGCCAGGGAGATGCCAGAGTCTCTGTGGCCCAGAGGTATTTTTAGAGTTGGGTCAAATGTAATGATTTAACCTGGAGGAGCTCATTTTACCTGGGTGACGAGGCTACTTTCTGAATATGCATTAGTTTTTAGTAGGGATGTCCGATATTAACATCCAAACGCTTAATTTTTCAGAAATATTTTTCAAAAATAACCGATTTAACCCTGGTGATATTTATTTATTTATCTGTACAAACTGCTGTCTGAGTATGAGGTTAATTAAATGAGCTGCAATGCTGCCATCTAGTGACTTTCACTTTAATATACAGCTGTTTTTCCCCCCAACACTGTTCACTTTCTACAGGACGGCTGCACTGCTCTCCACGCCGTGGTGCGCTCTGGACACGTGGACACGCTGCGTCTCCTCCTATGTCACCCACCTCAGGCTGACCCCACTGTGACCCCTGACCCCTCGGGCACCCTGACGTTACCTGCTGCACTACTGAATCAGGCCAACAGTGATGGATGGACCGCTGCGCACATGGCTGCTGCTCTGGGCCTGAAGGTGAGAACCGGAGGCGGTTACCATGGTAACAGCGCAGCCTGACGTGACGCAGCTGTTCACCGTTTTTTAATTGACCTGTACTTTAAAAATAACAGCGGACACTGAAATCTTCGCATGACGATGCGGGAATATACATAGCTGAAAAATATAGGCAAAATGTGTCATTTCATCGAAACAGACGCCCCCTGCAGGAGAACTGAAAAATAACAAGTGACTTTCTGTGGAGTAATGCCGGTGCACGGCCTGTGTGTTTACCACAGTCCAGACTGTAGTCGACCACATGTCGTCCACCCCCGGCACCGGTCTCCACAGTTTTTATTGACCTTGTTGGCTGGAAACTTCCATCTCAGCCTAAAGGTGGCGTCGGTCTAGACTAGATGAACACCTGACTGGAATACAAATGAGGGATAATTATTGATTTGTGCTTTAGTTACACACACACACACACACCTGTTATTAACACCTGGTGAATTACAGGACAATTTAATTACATTGTTCTGCATTGTGACCTCTGTGTGACCTCTGTGTGACCTCTGTGTGACCTCTGTGTGACCTCTGTGTGACCTCTGTGTGACCTCTGTGTGACCTCTGTGTGACCTCTGTGTGACCTCTGTGTGACCTGTGTGTGTGTGTGTTTGCTTGCAGGAGTGTCTGGAAGTGCTGTGCAGCCACCGTGAGCAGGACATCCAGAGGAGAGATAAGTGTAATCGGACCATTCATGACGTGGCCACCGATGACTGCAAAGATTTACTTGAAAACCTCAGTGAGTGACGGCCTGACTGACAGCATGTCTGCGTCTCACGTCTCTTTTCCAAAGTCACTTTGAAGCTGACCTTCAGTTGTTGCTGATTTTTTAGTCAACACAAAGTTGAAACAACAGGCAGTGTGTTTACGTTACCTCAGGATGGTTGTTCAGTTTCACTCCCGCTGCAGTTTCCACATTGTTCCTACAGTGAATGTTATGGAGGAAACAAAGGACAAACTCCTGTCCGTCAGTGGTGAAAAACAAAAATGTCCTTTAACCAAGTACTTCTTTGTGGTCTTTGTTTTTACTCTTGACCTTTATTGGTCATAAAAGTTTAAATTCTGCACGTTGTTCCTGTCACTTCTCTGACTAATCTCTTAATTGTTCTCGCTGTTGCCGACTGTTGAGCAGTGACACAATGAGACAGCTGACAAAACAAGGCCGAGTGTCTCCGTGCTGAGGTCACGGGGACTTTCAGTCACGTCTGTAATGACAATGTGACCGTTGTGTGTTTAAGGTTGTGTGTTAGACTCTACACAGAACAACGATCATGTCTGTAAACTGTCACCGTGTTACAGCAGAGTGTAACACTGCCACCAGGGGTTAGAACACTGTTGCAGTGCCACTGTTTCCCAGGACAGTGAAGGCATCACTGTCGTAACTGCACATCTGTTTTTGGTTGGTTTATCTCTCCTGAGTTATCCAATCAGATGCAGAAGAGCTACTAAAGATTGGACTCTTTTTGGTCTGGCCTCTAGACTCGTACAGAGTCCTGGTGCGTCTCCAGTGTTCTGGTGGAGGAGCGGGGTCCATGTGTCCTGTGGAGGCCCTCGAGGAGGAGGCCAAGTGGGGCACCAGCAGTCAGCTGGTGCTGTGTAGAGTGTCAGTGGACCGGTCCATGCCCTGGTCTCAGTTGGGCTCCGTCCTCAGCCAATCCTTCACCTCGCACCTCCACATTCTTTGTGGAGACTCTCCGCAAGGGAGAGAGGAGGTGCAGCGCCCCCCACTGGGCCTTGGCCCCTCTAGTATCTCCTCCATCCTCATTGGTAAGGCCTCTAATGGTGTTTTATTTTCATTTTCCTGACCACGTTTATTTTATTTGATCTTTTCTTTTCTTTTTTTTTCCAGGTGACACTGAGTGGCTGCCAGGTCAGGAGCTGCCTCTGTCTCCCTGGGACCTGGTCAGGAAGCCTCTCAGCCAGTGCATCACGGTTCGGCTTAAAGGTACGTAGCCGTACTCAGCCTCCAGTACTGTCAAAACAACAGACGTCTTCTGCCTAATCCTTACGGACGCATTTGTCGCAACAAGGATTAACAACATGTTGAATTTGGTTTGGTTGTGAATTTGTTTGCTTTTTCTTTGTAAAGTGTGTGCAACTCTCTTCACAGGTCTGTCAGAGTCGAGTCTCGATGAGCTCGCCTTGGAATCTCTCTTCTCTCTGCCACTGCTACACAACTATGTCCGCCTGGTAACACACAAGTTTTCAGTGATTAAATGGTTGAGGTGTCAAAAAAGTAGCTAGAAAACAGAAGTAGTTATTGACACATGAAAGAAAACATTTTCTTTTTTCTAACACCTACACTGCCCCTTGCTGGAGTTTTCGACAAATTACAACCTACACTGCCCCTTGCTGGAGTTTTCAGAATTACGACAAAATCTGACAAACTCCTACAAAAATGTACAAAATGTAATTCTGGACAAAAACATAAGAAAAAATGAAATAGCACTAAGATGTCATTTCGTATCAGTCAAATGGAAACTGTTTGTGTTTGAAGGTGGAACAATATGGAAACCTTATCTTCCACGGGCTTGAAGGAAGCTGTCAGGAGTACGTCGCCAGTCTGGTGGCTCGCTGCATCAAAGTGAGTACAAGACCCCCAAAATCCACTTTGTTACAGGGGACAGTTTGGTCTTTTGAAGGGTTAAAAAAAATCACCCAAAAATGGTATATACCCATGGACATAACAGACATAACCAGTCCATGAGGTACTGTGTTTTTAGTTACATTGTTTCATGCTTAAAATTTAGAAAGAAAGTGATTTATTGGAACATTAACTATGACCAAACCTAAAATATTATCCCAATAATTTTCTGAAAAAGTGTTCAAAAATAAGTTTACCAAAAATGAATAAAAATGAACTAACCTGTCTAATATGTAGCAATTAAAAGAACTTTTTAAAAAAAGGTTTTTCAAAAAAATGTTTTAAAAATTTTAAATAAAAAAATTGACAAATTTTTCAAAAATGTTTTTTTCTTCTAAAATTAAAAAAAAAATTCAAAAATTTCTGCAAAGAATTTAATAATTATTTTGTGTTTTAAACTCCACCATCCACCATCGTGAAAAAATCTTGCATTTTA